AGGGGAGGCAGCGCCAACGAATCTCGGGTGTTTTCTCCTTTTTTTTTTTTCTCGGGAAAAAAAAATACCCGCGCGCTGTGATTTCGCCGGGGTTATTTCTGCCTATTATTTCTGCCTTCGCGATAGGGGGAGCGGAGGGGGGAAAGGTTAGAGGCAGCTTTCAGCCCTAAATCCCCTGGAAATGAGCCTGCTCCGCGGAATTCCTTCCCAATCCCGCCACCCCAAAGACGTTGAGAGCTGGAAAATTAGTTGGCGATCGTCTTAATTCTGTCCGCGGGACGAAAATTGCTTTCGGGGAGGGAAGGAGAGAGGAGGGGAAGGAGGGGGCAATTAAATGTTGCATAATTCTCCGTGGCGTTTTGAAGAGCTTTTTTTTTTGGGGGTTGATTCCGATTTTTTTTTTCCGGGCGCTTTTCAAGGCTCGGTGTTTTCCCCGCTCTGAGAAGGAGAACATCAGCTATTCAAGCGTATTGATGAACTCCCCCAAAAAGTTTATTAAGAGAAGGGAAAACAAAAGCACTAAAGGCCGCAGGCAACTGGACAGACAGTTTATAAACTAAGGTCCCTTTGTGCGCGCCGGGCAGATGCATGAATACCTCTCAATGGGCTCCTTTGGAGTGACAAGATCAAGCCAGACAACAGCATGTTAAAAGGAAGGAGCGCTGTTTCTCTTTTTTGCGACCCAAAGATCTGCTCCCCCCCTCACCCCTTCTGCATTAATGTACATCTGCAGGGGGAGGAATAAATAGCTCCTTAGCATGGGCGCCGGGCGCGGGGTTATTCTTCCAGCGGGGCTCTTTGCACCATATGCTGCGGAGCGGCCCTTTCTCCCAGGGCTCTGGCGAGGCAGGCGCCTAAAACGATCCTCAGCAAGCGCAAACTTTCTTCTTTCTTGCCTTTTTCCCCCGCTTTGCTTTTTTTTTTTTTCCCCTCCCTCACCGGTGTTGTAAAAATCGCGATTTACGGCTCGCTCGTCTTTGGAGATCCCTTGTGGTCAATTAGGTTTGCACGGAGCAATTTCGCTAATAGGTTTTGATGGATTGCTTTTATTTTATTTTATTTGGTTTCCTGGGATGTCGGTGGTGCTGGAGCACCCGTCCCGTGGCGCAGAGCCGTGGGCAGGCGGCCGGAGGGGCTTTTCCCCCGCTGGGTGCCCAGGAAGACTCCCCTTCGCGCAGCGGGAGCGTGCCAAGGCGAGCAGGGCTGGGCATGTCGTACCTGGCGGTTTAGTTTTACTGTCTTGGGGGATTGCTTTGCCTGAAAGAGGGAAAATAGGAAAAGAGGGAGTTTGCGGAGGCCCTGAATTCCCGTGATGGATCAATTCGCCTGCTTGCTAGCCATGGCAAAGCCACAGGCCCCTAACAAGAGCCAGCTCTGAGCGCTGGGTTGCGAGGTCAAACTGATGATAATAGTAATAAAATTAAGGCTCCCCCTTGCCCCTCTGTCCAGCCTCACCTTCCCCTCTGCAGCGGAAGAGTTGCTATTTCATGGCTGGCTAAAATCAAACTCCCCTCAAGGGGGTCCGCTGGCTTCTGACCTTCCTAACCTGTACTTAGAGCTTTCCAAAGGACGTGTTATCCTGGAGAGATGGCCTGAATGGAGGCTGAGCCGCGAGGGCAAAGCCAAGCTATTGGCAAAGAGAAAAAAAAAAATACCAGCAACAGGGACAAAAAACACTTGGCAAAAACACCCAGAATTGTTTCCCACTTAGGGAAATACCTGCTTATTCAGTGAGCTGAATAGTGTCCAGCTTAACCCTCCCTAGTAAAGCCAATCCAAAGTATTCCCACATCCGTCCAGGGTCTGTGACTCCTTCGCCACGAAGCCTATTCCTAGAGAACCCCAGATCCTCTGCTCGTTCGGTTCCAGATCCGAGGGTCACTGGCAGAGAGGTGAAATCAGTGCGGGATTTTGCCCGGTATCCTGTGCCTTTCTCTTTCCTCTGAAGTTTGCGAAGGAGCATAGCAAGCTGAGGGGATCCTTGAAGGGCTCGGCGTGGAGAAGTGGCACAATTTAGCCCCGGAGCGAGCGAGGCCGCAGGCCCCTCAGGCGAATGCGCACTGCGTTACTCTATGAGCAATGCCGGCGGCTGCAGTGGCGCTACCCTCCAGCCTGAGTTTTTGTAGGACAGGAGGCCCTTTCCTGCCCCTCAAGTAGGGGCTGCATTCGGATTTCTCCCCCTTGGGGTTTCCACAGGGTGTGCTTGCCTTAAAGCATCACAAATGGGGCTGGGGATGAAGAACCCCCCTCCACACACCCTGCAGATGAGGAACTGAAGTGATGAAAGAGCAGTAGATTTGGTGTCCCCACAGTGGCTCCCCGAGGCATTTGAAAGAAAAAAATAAAGAGAAATGGGAAAACACAAGCACCTAATCAAAGCAAGGACCCCGTTAGCCAGGCCAGTGCTCGGAATCCCCGGGTCCCATTTAGCTGCTCGCAGGATTAGCACTTGTTGCCAATTGGAAACCAGCAGGTGTTGTCAGCTCTTTCTGCGGCTGTTATTTATACAGTGCCACTGGGGTGTGCCCGGCGCTACGCACACGCGCGGGCGACAGCCAGCCTCTCCCCTGAGAAGACACCAAACCCAATTAGACTTAACGCAGTGGCAGACGTTAATGCACAGCATATGGGGACAGGGGACAAGAAAGGTGGCGAGCCACAAAGACGGCGCAGTCTCTGTGTCTTACAGTCTATGTCGGCCAGCTTGCTGCTCCTCATTTCACACGGCAAGCAAATACAGAGATCTATGTTCACCCTGCAGCACTCAGGCAGGGACAGTTAGCACATCCTGCCTTGTTTTCGGACAGGGTGGATGGACATCATTTGCTTTAGGGGCCTGGCCTGCCGTTTGCAGCGTGCTGTTACACAGTAACACTGCACAGCGGGCAGCACGGCGAAACGCTGGGGGAGACGTGGAGCAGCTCACCCAAGTCCACACAGCAAAGCCGAGACCTGTGCAAGTCACTAGCAGAGCCCCATCCGCAGCCTTTGTCCTCCAAACCTTATTTATGTAGGCAAATTCCCATGGTATCTGCGTGAGTTTAAAGCAAAGATTGTGTACGGACCTGGAGATTTGGTGTTTTTTTAATTTATTTTCTCCTTCTTCTCTTTAGAGGCAAATCAGCTCACAGAGCAAACTAGATGCTGTTTGGAAATAAAACCCATTTCCAGCTTAGGCCTGCACAGGCTTGCTCCAGTGGGTACTTTTATCCAGACGAGCCCCCCAGCCCGTGTCTGCAAGAGGACCCCTCGTGTAGGCATACCGAGCAGCACGACACTTAGCGGGATTGGGCCAGGCACTGCTAAGAAGCCTTCCTGACCAAAGGAAGGTGCAGGGGAAAAATCAGCTCTGCAGAAATTTAGCAGATTGCCCCCTCGCTGCCTCTTAGGTGTTTCAAAATCTAATTACCCTCCTCTCGTCCCAGTCCTACAAAAGTCACGGACCAAGTAACTGGTTGCTCTCAGCCTGACAGCGGTGTAAAATGCAAAGCAACCCCCTGCTGTTACTTGAAGGAGGTTCAGTCCTGCTGTAAAGCTCTATAAACTGCCCCCTATCCCTTCTCTTTTCCCCATCCACCTCCTCCCCAGGATGTTTTAAATGATTTTGGATTTTAATGCAGGGCCTGGAGCTCATTCCAGTGTATTCACGGCATCAAACAAGAGGCTGCTGCCCCCAGCTGGGTTCCTTGAACTTAGAAGCAAAGCTCTACTCAATATTACCTTAATTAATTAACTAAAGAGACAATGGCTTTTGAGGGCTCACCTCTGTTTCCAAGGAGGGGGGTCTTTTGACAGAGCCCTGCCATAAACTAATTCAGAGTTGCAGCAAGGAGTCATAGGGGGAAGAGTTAAATGACACTATTTACTTGTTTACTGAGACAATTTATGTCATATTTGTTTTTCCCCACCTTCTGTCTGCAGCAGGGAAAACTCTGTTGGGGGTGCAGGGGGGAGGAGGAGGAGGAGAGAGTATTATTTGCATTAGCCACCGGAATCAAAGCATATTCCTGTCTGAAAATATACCACTTCATAGCTTTTGGTATCTCTCGCTCTCTCTTTTTTTAAAAAATTTTAATTTACAAAAAGTTTTTGAAGCTTTCCAGGTTCAATATAACAAACTGAGCTTTGATGCTTTAAAAGTGCCATAAAGAGCTACAGGCAACATCATAGTTAACCAAAAATATATATATTTCAAGGCTCCTGTGAGCACTTGTATCTCCTCTGAATTTTTTTTTTTTTTTTTTTTTTTTCTTTGCAAACAGACATCGAATAGGTGTGTGTTGGTGCATTCCATCCAAAGAGACACACACATATTCTGTAGTGCCAAGAGAAACTTTTTAAAGCGTCACTGTGTGCTGTGATTGTTTGGAAAATCTACCCAGGAACTCCCTTGCCCCTGTTCAGCAGAGGATCATTATTTGGTTTTGGGTCCCCCAGAAGACAGGCAATAAAATTGGTACTTTATGGGATGAAAATAAAGCGCAGGCTAGAGTAGGTATGTCCCTTAATGTCCCAGCAGGAGCTCACAGCAAAACAAGGAATTGAATGCACATCTCTTGGGTTTCACTCCTGCTGCGGCCCCCTCCATCGCCACGCATCATCTCAGCACCCAGGCTACACGCACCCACTGCACCAAGTTCCCAATGATGTAAAATGTCTCGACTTAAGGGAATTTTACAGATTTACCTCTGCTGAGCAGGCACTGGCTGTGGATTTGAGAAGGGTCTTTTGGTATTTTAGGTCTGTGACCTGCAAGCTTTTTTTTTTTTTTTTTTTTTTCCCTTTTGGGTGCATTTCCAAGAGTAGCATTTCAGTTATTTGGCAGATGATTTCACTGTCCGCCTATTTTTTTGCTAAGACTCGTCCACACTGACACCTATGGGAAATCTCATAAAGGCTGGTCTAGAATTATGCTCCTTACATGCAAGGCAAAGAGGATATTTCATAGGAGATTCTCCACTTGGATCAAAGAAGGGATCAGCTACCTTCCCCCCCACTTCCATCTATAAATTTTTGGCTAGGGTTTTGTTGCTCAGAACTCGTTTGGTGCATGCAAAATATGTTTGTGTGTATTTCAGGGCTATGGGGCATAGGAAAACGTGATCATCCATAACTGCATCTCCCAACTTCAGGCATGCAGTTTTGGAAGCCAAGGCTTAGCCACTGAAAATGTGGTCCTTGTCTCACGTCACAAATCTGCAATTACTTATGTCCATGTTTAACTTCATACACGCGACTAGTCTGATGGCTTGAAACACAGACACGATATGGGAAGATGTTGCCACTGCAATCTGCTATAAAAATGAACAGCTGAAACAACAACCAATAGCTCAGCTAGTGACAAATACTTCCCAGAGTGTGAAGGATTCTCTTTCTGCAGTCCTTGCAGCAGAGCTGTGCTCATGCACTGCAAGGGTTAAGGGGCAGGTTTTGGCATGAACCAGTCTAGCTTCATCGAGTCTGCTGGACCAACGTTAGCTTGCCAAATTAGCTTACAAGAATGGGAACTTCACCTGCTAAACTGACCGGGCATGTCTAAGAAACATTTAAGCGCTATGAGAGCTGCTGTTAATAACACAGTTGGTGACCCCTTTCCACGTGAACCAAGTAAGGATGACATTTTTGATCATGTCTCAACTGTAGCTAAGATGCTAAAGCTGTTGTGCTGGTCAAGGCTCCAAGCAGGCAGCTCTTAGTAATCTTTGGACCCTTAATTTTTTATTAGCCTTAGGGCTATGTGCTCTGGTGTCTTTCCAATGTGCCGTTTTCAGTCATTAAGTCACCACAGAAAACTACCTTGTTGCAGTCGTACTCCTTTCCTCACTTCTCCGCAAAGGAGTGTTGGTATTCGCGTGGCCACGGGGTTCCACCGCAGCATCGGCTGCGTGTCAGGCGGGTCTCAAAATGAGCCTCTGCTCTAGCTTGCATCGCCTCTGCGTTCCCACCGGGACGCGCAAGGAACATTATCGATATTAACTGGAAAGTGGCGTTGCTGCCACTTCACGATCAAAGTTAAATATCGTTCTCAGAAGTACTGTACTTTGGAGAAAAAATGACAAACCGTTATGTCAAGGGAAAACTCTGTTAGAGATTTGTACGGGCTTCGTTGGCTTTGATTCCAGCATTCCCTCCAGTTGCCCACATATTCTTGCCATTCAAGTCTCTGATCTTTGCGGGGGGTTTGGAGGGTTGGGTAGGATTGTCTACTTGAAACGCGTTAGAACAAAAAGTGACATAGGCAGCACTGGTGTCACTTTGTCCCTCCTCTCTCCGGGAACCATAAGCCTCGATTAGAGTTGTGTGACTTTACAATTTCCACTTCCTCACTTCCCAGTCACAAATATGACAACAGAGCAAGTGATTGATGTTCTTTTCAATAGAGGCAGAAAATACCTCTGGGCCTGTTCGCCAAGCGGGTCTGAACTAACGTTCCTTCCGAAAGCGCAGCAGGGCTGGGTTGGCGCTAGCGGAGGGGACAGCAGGGAAAGTCCCTGGCCATATTCCTGTCCTCTTTCTTTGGAACCTTCTCTTTGGTTCTGATCGGGATGATCCACCCATGAAAACGGGCGATTTACAGCTTGTGCTCCTTGTTACTGGGACCACTGAATTGTAACTGCTCAGGCCTATCGGTTTTGGACACAGTCGGGTTTTCCTCAGGGCTCACCTGAGACTGACCCGCTCAATGCATGGAAGATTTCTGTCTGGACTCAAGCCAGGAACCCGAGGGAGAGAGCAGCCACTTTCAGGAAGAGGGCAGAAAGGATGTCTTGTTTATGGCATGAGCCACCTGGCTCCCTTTCCCCGCGCAGCCCTGCTTACGGTGATGTGCCTTTAAGTGTGGCGAGGGACCTGGAAACACTTCAGAAATGTAAATGCCGGCCATTTGTTTATAATTTTATACCCCAACATGTAACCTGAACCTGATGGAGCCAATAAAGAATTAAACCTCTGCATGTTTCCTACCTCAAAAATACTGGAGCAAATCCAGGGCTCTTGAAGGCAAATTATTCCAAAGAGCTGAAAGGAAAAGGAGAGAGAATTAAAAAAAGGAGCCTGACTTTTTGTATTCTTCTTTTTTTTTTCCTTTTCCCTGAGTTTTGAAAGAGTGCCCTTACTTGTTCTCCAACATCAATGGCGACCAATGCATTTTCGGGAGCATGGCCAGCTAGCAACGAAGCAAGGCCCACAACTTAGAAATAATTACATTTGTTCAGAGGAGTTTTGAGGACAGAAACTAATTCCAAAGGAATGAAATTTCTCAGTTTGAGAAAAAGTGCCCGGCAAAGACTTTTATTTTTTCCATTCTTTTTTTTTTTTCAGGGAAGAGAATTTTCTGCTCACAAAATGCAAGTTAAACACCTCAGGATGAGCTTACCTTTTGTAATTATGCAGTTTGCATTATTAAATAAACTGTGAATATATTTTGCCATTAGCATTC